ACGTTACATTCATCCATGTGGAGACTGCTTTGCCTTCATCCAGCGCCGGCCTGGCAGATTGACATACTCTGTCCTTTTCCTTCTGTTTTATTTGGAGCTCATCGTCGCTGGTTCAGCTCGTACCTTCTTGTAGGTGTAGAGAAGACCATGAAGGCGCTGTCTGACTGTGGTCATAGTCCGACACGGATGCCAGTGTCTACTAAGAGCTTTCGTGTCAGCTTTTTTCGTGTATGCTGCGGCTTTTCCTCCAGCTAACTGAGCATCTTATCCACGTGGTAAACAGATATCTTGCAGGAGCTTGCCCCTCCCCTTCTCTTTGCTTTGGTGGGTGGTACCATGAGTCCATCACATCTAACCTACATCTCCATTGTTAGCATTGTAGTATATGATGATTTTCAGCTTCTTTGTTTTGGAGTCCACCATAACAACATAGCACTGCGTCAACAGCGCGGTAACCACCTTCCCCGGTTTTGGGTAGAAGAACACCGTGGTCTTATCGCCGTTGAATGCGAAAAGGCTGCTGCCTTCCTGGCAACCTTTCACTTCCTTAAGCTCTTCTGAAATCCTCCGGCGCCAGTCGATGGTACCGAGACCGACGATAGTTAGGCTAGAAGGCTGTCGGCGACTTCCATGGACGTGAAAAGCGGTCCATCGTGAGGTTTTGTCGCTTCCTTTTAGCTCTTCTACCACAAAGAACGCCAGTATCGGCACTCGGCACGGACTCAAGGTGGGCGTTCGGCGGCGCTAAGTCAAGCGCTGCTGGCTGCCCATTGTACGGGAACACCTTCAACATGTAGCGCAGTGACGATTCCGCCAAAGTACGGAGAACGCCGTGCTAACCTGGCTTGTTTTTCGTGAACATGCGGAAACCACATCGACCCTTGAATCGGACAAGGCGCTCGTTGAGCGTCACAGATTCCGACGGCTGGAGGTGGCGGTGCAGCTCGTGATTGAATTGAATTCGTCCAGCTGGTTCCGCAGCGGGTAGAACTTGTCTGCAGCTCGTCGGTCATCCCGGGTCGTTCGATCATCGACCGTGACGAACCTCAGAATAGTACAGAAGCTCGTTGCCCCCATAGTTGCACTGAAGATGTCAGATCCAGTTCCTTTTGAGAACAGTTCCAGAACCATCAGTCGGTTCTAAAATCCGCGCAAGACGCAAAAACGTCTTGCAGCATATGAACGCCCATATTTTTGTGACTGTTACGTCTTGCAGCATATGCTGCATCTTCGTGTTGCTGTGACCGGAGTAGGTGGTTTTCACACGCCTCTGCTCCTCTTCCAAAGTCTTGTTTGTCCATTTTACCTTCTCTGTCATCATTCCGCCGGCAATGAAAAGCCTGAATGCGGCCATTTCCTTCTTTGCCGCTCGTGCTTGCTGGCCATGCACTCCAGGCTCTTCCCGGATGTTAGCTTGGCTCCGATGTCGGCCAGCGGGTGGTGGCACCGTTTTTCATGTCTCGGGGACCCTGCGCGCGCCTCGAAGCTGGGCCGTCACCCTGCGGCGGCTCAGCAAGCAGGTCGGCCTGACGAAGGATCGTCTTAGATCTGGTTAACTGTTGGATGATTGTAAGAACTGTTGCGTCGTCTTCGTCTCCGCGTCTCGTAGCCTGTGACACCAGCACTGACAGTAAAGTAAGATTTTCACGCTATCCCGATAGTACATGTGCCGCGCTTTAAATTGCCGTTTGAATTTTGAAAACTGTTTGGTAACATCCCAAGATCTTAGGGGACCGAAACGTCTCCCCCCCCCCCTTCCAACGGGTGGTAAGGTCCGGGAACAGGCCAACAGTGGGAACAGTGGGATAGTTTATCACCCGGGCCGCCATTCTGTATACCAAGGATGCGTCACGTTGACCCGTGCCTTATGTCCGTCGATCCATGCCACAGCTCTGCCGGACTCTACACGGATTCGTCGGATCGCAATGCTCTAACAGTCTGACGCCTCACCACGCTCCACAAAGCAAGCACACAGACAATATACCCAAGGGGAGCCGTTGGCGTTGGTTGCATCGGGGAAAAAACTCTCTGATATGCCAACGCGTCCAGAAACAGGCGTGTTTTTGTGTTGCGCCTGTGGCTGAGATTCCGTGTTACGATAAGTAGCTGTTGTCCGGGCGCGGGCGGCTCTACCCAGCCGAACGCACTCAGCTCGATGCCCATTTGGTCTCTGCCGCGGAAAGACAGGTGCCGATTGAAAACAAAAAACAGCGAGGCTGAGGCAGAAAAATGGCCACCGATTTGCGTCAGAATGAATAGCCTGGTTGGTTGATGGTGGTGAAGTCTCCAGGGGGTGTACTTGTGGGCCAAGATTACCCCGCTGTTTTGACAAGCTTGTTCAAGAAGCACGCTCGAGTGTGTGCTTTGGCAACGGTTTTTAACGATATGCTTTCAAGTTTGAAGTTGTTTTAGTTATATTTATGTCTTGCGGGCTCATTAATTTGGGTTCTGGAGAACGTAAAAGTTTTGACTTAATTTTGGGGCCATTCAATTAATCGATTGAAAGCATGCACAAGCGGATATAATTTGTAATGTATTTCTATTTAAACGAGCGTTCTCAGTTTTGGCTGCCGGTGTCACTCGGTGGTGCCTTTAAGTGGTGCCTCTGGGTGGTGCCGCTGGTCACCTGCAGTGGTGCCGCCACGGGTGCCATCACCAGTCCGTCTCCGCCGGCGGTGATTTGGACCGGCCGCTGTCCCCAGCTGCGCCATTCCAATGCATGAAACGAGCCCGCCGGGTCAGCGGTGCCGTCAGCGGAGAGCCGCTGATCTCCGGGGGCGGCTGACGACTGGGGATGCCGGCCCGCGGTACGACAAACGGCGGCCCGCGGTACGACAAACGGCGGTCCGCGGTACGACAAACGGCGGCCCACGGTACGATACACGGCGGCCCACGGTACGATAAACGGCGGCCCGCGGTATGACAAACGGCGGCCCGCGGTACGGCAAACGGCGGCACGCGGTACGACAAACGGCGGCGCGCGGTACAAGCGGCGGCCCGTGGTACGTCAAACGGCGACCCGCGGTACGTCAAACGGCGGCCCGTGGTACGTCAAACGGCGACCCGCGGTACGTCAAACGGCGGCCCGTGGTACGTCAAACGGCGACCCGCGGTACGAGAAGCGGCGGCCCGCGGTACAGAATACGGGGACCCGCGGTACGACAAACGGCGGCCCGCGGTACGACAAACGACGACACGCGGTACGACAAACGGCCGCCGGTGCGCCCTGCGCAAATAAAGCGCCAAGTGGCCCAGCTGGCAATCAGAGGCTCTCCGCCATACCCAGGGCGCGGAGCTCCGTGATAGCGCGCGTAACTTGGCCCGCCGAGTTATGCGCTGTCAGTCGGGATTGTTTGAACTGTTTGTTTGCGTCCGCCCAAGTTCCAGCGGGTGGGCAGGTGCGTTCGGTAGAGCGAGAGCAAGTTTGATGTGCGCACAGTTAGAGCAATTTAGTTGGTGGTTACGTCCACTTTGTAATAAAGGTAATAATTCAGGACGCCTGATCTCTGTGATTGACCCGTCTGTGCATTATGACCACCTTTATTTAGCGGTTTGAGCTGATACTTCCCTGGACCAGCCACGTAGGTTTTTTCATTGAATACATTTAAATTCAACATTGCCTATGTTTTAGATCCTCCCTAGTCCCTGGCAACAAGCTCACAGCACAGACCAGCCCTATTTAAATCAATGGTGACGACACGCGATACTCTCCGTCGGTGCATGCATTGTTATGCTTACATTGCAGTCGGGGGCGACAGCTGGATGAAGGGCGCCTGACTGCTGCCAGACATGAAACGTCTGGTCTGGCATGACATGTCTGGCACCAGTGAAGCGACCTTCATCACGCCCAGATTGAACAACAAAGGCAGCGTTGCGACAATTCCCGCTACACTTGGCAAGCTCGTTAAATTACGAGACTATCAGGACATTTGGGTATTCGAATTGCTTCTAATAAAACAAAGTACAACACAAAACTACGAACACCTTCGTTAATCGCACCTTGCTTTTTGTGTTTATGCCTTCTTTTGCGGTTACTATAATTATAGTGCTTTTGAAATTCCAAGGTGACTTATTCATTTACAAGAGACATTTTGAGACTGCATCTCACGGCTGCTGATCAGTTCAGACATTTCGGCTGCCTAGCCAGGACGCGCTGCCGCTTCGTTGAGATAAATATCATATCGAAGCCTTGGTGAAACGGAACCGCTCGCCGAGGTTATCTCTCCACCTACTTATGTCCGTTTTCAGTACCGATTCCTCTTTAGTTCGCAGATGCTGAATATTCCATGCTGATGGCTCAGCTCACGCTTTTGCGACAATATGTCGTCTAATCCGAGCTTTTTAGCCGAGCAGTTGGGTGTAACGATTAAAGTTTGTTGTATTTGTTACCGTCTGTCGCGTGCGTGGAGTTGCCGAAGCCACCGATTTCTCTCTTGTCAAGTCTGCCGCAGCTTTGTTCCGTTGGACAACCGGAACTCACGCTTGTCGTCTCGCAACTCAATTGGAGCGGACGCAGAAAATGGGCACGGGAACGTAAAGCCTTAGCACGCTGAGGCTGACACGTAAATCGATAACAGAAACTTCTGGGGAAGTGTTACGGTGTGGTAAGTACATCTATCTGAGTATGAGTCAGGTCCGGATATGTGACAGGTCCAGTTGGGTCAGGTCGTATAACTATGTCATGTGTCACAGCTGTCATAGAATCATGACCGTTGTTGTTTGTCCTAATTCGTGCTGACACTCCGTGCACTGGTCCGGTGCAATGGTGCGTCTGCGTGTCGGTCTGGGTGCGGCATTGTGCCCGGTGTGGTGACAATCCAATTTTGGTCCGCTGGTGATCGTCATCCTCGATGATTCTACATTTGTTGACCCGGCAGACTCGCCAGGACTCTGACTCTGTCTGTTGTCCGACAGATTCGCCAGGACTCTGACTCTGTCCGCAGTCCGGCAGATTCGCAGGGACTTTGTCTGACTGTCTGACTTTGTCTGTTGTCCGGCAGATCCGCCAGGAGCAGATGCGGGAGATGAAGCGTCTCGGTCTGAAGGAGGACGGCCGTCAGCCAGCCGGGGCCGAACACCGCGAGTCAGTCGGCGCTGAGGCTGAGGAGACGGCCTCGGGATCATCACCGGGTCAGGACGCCGGACTGCACTCACCAGAGGACGACCCCAAGGTCAGGAGTCCACCTCCCGAGAACGACCCCAAGGTCAGGAGTCTACGTGGAGGAGGCGGGTGGGGTGTCTTTGTCTGGTAACTACAAATGTCCTGGTAACAAAATGTACAATTTAGTCCCTTGTCTTTACCAGCCGTAACTTTGCGCAAAAAAAAAATATCATAAATCTATCGGCTTTTACAAAGTTCCAATGTTTGTCTGCTATCCATAGTCCACGCGATCAAACGAAGTTTGATCCATACCGATCGTTTGATCTCCTAAATAGCATTGAAGTGATCAAAGTATGTTAGCAAGTTGTTCTGAAAAGTAACGTCCTTCCCCAAGGTCCAAGCTATAAATGCTTACTTCAGCAAGAAGTTTTTGCTTGCTGTGTTATGCAATGCATGACTGGTGTACCAAGCTATCGGGGCGCCTTTAATTAATTAAAATCAGGGCCTATTGCATGGCTGCATAAACATTTACCGCAGCATTAACTTCATGCTATACTCACTTTCTGTGTCAATTTTGTGCTAACGAACACTCTTGTCTATCTTCTTTTCTCTTCCCTCTCTTTTCTCCGGTCTCCTCTCTCCTCTTTCACTCTCTCGCTCTTTCTGTGCTCTCGCTCATCGCGTTTTTCCCTCCCTCTCTTTCTCTCTCCCTCTCCCTCTCTCTCTCTCCTCTCCCATTCTCTTTTTCTCTTTCTTTTGTTTTCTCTCTCTCTCTCTCACTCTCTCTGGGTCTCTCTCTCTCTCTCTCTCTCTCTCTCTCTCTCTCTCTCTCTCTCTCTCTCTTTCTCTCCCTCTGCCTCCTCATGCACCTATATTCGCTGTAGTGTGCTAGTGTACTTGTGTGTAGTAAGTACGTGTGTTTGTGTGTTTGACCGTGCTTTACTCCCCCGCCAGTGTTCGGAGGAGCCGGAGCCGGCCGTTCCCGTGACCAGACCTCCTGCGCCGCTCCCCTCCGCTCCGCCCCAGCGGCAGCGCGTGCTCAACATCCTGGACCGGGCGCGGCTTATCTCCGAGAGTTCGCGGGTGGCCAAGCTCACCAAGAGTGTCGACAGCCGCAGGTGGGAGCGTGCTCGTCAGGAAGGCTCGGGGCCGGTGTTTACAGACGCGGCGCCCGCAGATCAGCAGACTGCCGGCGATGGGTGCTCAGGTGGAACAGCGCGGTCGGACCGCGGACGGGGCAGAGTGTGCGGGGGAATCCGGACCAAATTGGAGCACCATTGGGAATGCGGACCGCGAGCTCAGGGAGCGGGATAATCGACAGAGGAGGGTAAACAACTTAGCGCGGTTCGCAGGTATTGATTTAGACAGTTGCGAACGGGTTTGCTGCCAGGTAGGTAGGAAGGATAAATGATCATCTACCACAGCCAAGATCATCTTATCTTATCTTTTATCGGCTCTCATGGCTCACCTGAATGCCATATAAATATTAACACTTGTTATTGTTTGTTTCAGTTTTACCCTGGATGGGGGCTACGAGCTTCCCGAGGCCTTCCTCGCTCCAGATGGTGAGTAGATTGTGAGATCGAGGACCACATGGTGATAATAAGAGGACGTTATTGGTAGTAGAATGTATGTGGACCATTATATAGGCAATAAAGGTTCATGACAAAAGGATAGTTTTTAATGATAGTGTTTAGTGACCTGTTTTATTCGTGACGAAGATGATGTTGCAATTTTTGTTTTTACAGATAACTTTAGAAAGAGCGTACATTAGCAATAGAAGTTGAAATGGGCTAATGTTGTTTCTCGCTGTCTCCTCTTTCACCAGCCCATCTGAAAAAGAGATGCTGAGAGCCTCTGTGACCACCTCCGGTCCTCTGTGTCTGTTTTCCCATGTTTGTCCGTCCGGCGTCCGAGCATTACGGCTTTCTGGGACTCTGCGCCGACCGGAGACCATATCCACCCTCTCTTGTCGTCGGGCCATTACCGCCGGGACCTATATTCTCTAAGCTCGTTAAGGGCGCGCACGCAAAGCAAACTTAGTTACCGTTTCCTGCTCTGCCGGTGCCTTTCTTGTGTGTCTCTGGAGATTTGTGCGCCAGTGCACACTCGGATGGCAAAAGCATCACATCTACACGCCCTGCATATATTATGACAGGAAACCATGAATATTTACTACATAAACAGGCGTATTTGCTGGCTCTCCCGGGTACAGATCAAGGAGCACGTTCTCAGAGACAGGGATCATCTTATTGCGTCTGTTGATGACTGAAGAGCTCAGTCACGATCGGAAAGAAAGTGTTGCAGGAGTTGCAGCGCGCTATCTTAGGTTCACTGATCAACAATGACTAAGTTTGGCCATCAGCATAGCCTGGCCGATATTGTGGAATGTCGATCGATCCGTCCTGTGACGGTTGGATTATTGTGAGAAATCCCCGCGTTCAAGTCACTCAAGTCGATACTGTTATATGGTGCTGGAATGGCTTAGCGGTGGAATATGTATCCAATAATCTGTTACACATATACCTAGCTGACCTGCTAGCCAGCCGTGGATCAGTCTATCTGTTCGGTCTGACTTTTCGGCCGGTAAGTGAGCAATTTTCTGTGGTATTTGTGGTCTCAACACACATGGCTGGTTTTCTCGCGACTGATGAGGCCAGTTCTGAATCTGAATCCTACGCTACGCGCAATCTTTCCGCAATCATGTAAACTACACCAATGCAAAGAAAATATGTCCCATTTGTTCAGCTTTGAAAGCCATCTCCCAGAAGGCAGGCATCTACTCCAAAGTCAACGCAACTTTATAGTGAAGTGCAGTGCTCGGCCTGGTTTACTTTTTATTCATTGAGTCTTCGCGATTTTAGTTTATTAGCGTTTGAATAATCTTGAATATATGGGAACAAAGCTTTGCGTACGTACTTTTTTATTTTTGGTTTATTGACTTATGAACGATGCTAGCTATCAGTACTATGATTGCTTCTACGATGGCAAATGGCTTCAGAATGCTGCACTTATCAAGACGATTACATACCTAGGCCTGGACCGCGCGTATTTAACGTTTTTGCGTCGATTTCTGCTTAGTGGTTTGATTCAATACTGCACGAATAATGGGGCAGCTTTCCTTCTTGTGCCATCTCATTGAGCAGGAATGATGGTTGGCGCTGGGGCACAGCGCAGCGCAGCATATCTGTTAGATGATGGGCCATATAGCTGAGCAGTCCCGCGCGGCCAATTTCGAGGCATGCTGATCCGAGAAGTCGAGTGGAACGGGACTGTATCTGGTGCCGGTATGAACAGTGAGCACGGTATGAACAGTGAGTCTGCGCGGTTGGAGTGATGTGAGGTATTCAAAGATCGGGTAGCCACAGATCAAGATCAAATGCAATATGGGATACTGAGACCCGTGTGTAACCAGACATTTAGCTGTAATTCTTTTATCTTAATTTTGTGCGTGTGCGATAGCTTCTGATCTGCAAGCAAGCCTTTGATCCTGCTAAAAAAGGCTTTCTGTCAGCTACGCTTGTATGTTTATTTTTCCTCGCAAACTTGGCGAAGTTCCTTCGTTGTTTGCGAGCTTGTTTTTATTGAAATCCAACAGAAACCTACAAGACAAACAGGCCGAGCTTCCCGCAAAATGACGACACCCGCTGCGCAGTGCCATCAGTGAAGCGAACAGATCAGGCTCCCATCGGAACAGCTGTCGGCCCTCCGCCACATTCCATCTCGGACCCGCTCGTAACTTGTAACACTCGATCCCGGCTGCGATGTACGGAGAGCCGAGGTGTATTTACGGGCTCGCCCCGCTCTCCGGCGGTGGCGAGTGTGCCGGGCGGCCGAGGAGGAGGATTAGGACTTCTTAGCGCGGGAGCGGAGGACGAGAGAGGAGGAAATCGGCGATGGCGATGGCAGGTGAAAAATTGGGAGCTGGAAGACGAGGGTGATACTGATACTGGGAGGACTGGGAGGATGGATGGAGGACTGAGAGGATGGGCGGAGGACTGGGAGGATGGATGGAGGACTGGGAGGACTGAGGTGGGACTGAGAGGATGGGGAGGCCGGAGGTGTTAAATAGAGGACGAGGAGGCCGACAGGCGGAGGACGGCATGACAATGGCGATGGCAGTAGGTATTGGCTGTGGAGGACGGATGATGACTGAGAGGACAGCGTCGCACCTCCTCGTCTCATTGAAGGCCCAAATGCACCGGCCTGCCTTCCCCGCCCCGACAATAACCGTCCGCCTAGCGATCCGACCACCCGCCGGCCGAGCCACGGCACTCTATTCTCTCAGCGCGGCCGAAATTTAGGTGCGCGGCTGACGGCGCGCTGGCATCGGCGGCCGGCCTCAATAGGGCGGCTGGGCCCGCTCACGGCCGCCCTGACCGCCGCGGTTTTGTTTGGCCCTTGACGGTGACAGACGGCCTAGTCGCCGATCCATTCTCGCCGCGCCGGCCAGACACCTGCTCGGCCTTTTTACCGGCTGGACGACGTCACACTTGGTGGGAACTGCCTGTAGTGTTCACCGCCGTCTCCGGATTCCGATGTATTCTCACAAACTCGCGGTGCAAAACACTAAGGCACTGCCGTGCTGTGCGGCCGGGCGGAGCCTCTCGACTGCTGGCTCTGACTGGAGCCGAGCAGGGTGCGGCCGCCTCACACTCGTATTACCGGGGGCCCGATGCCGAGCCTCGGACACCCGATGCACTAGGTACTCGATACACTACACATTCCCCCCTCTCGCAAAAAAAGGAACAGCATCACTGCGACACGTAGTAGTCCGGTCGTCTACAGACACGGTCGCTTCGCCTGGGACGCTGCACGCTCACATCGGCGGCGTCCGGTGACGGCTCGCAAGCTGTCTCGGTCGACGGGCGAGAAGCAGCGGCGAGCGAGGTCAGCGGGCCAGCGGCGTCGGCCTCGGAAGTCGTGGCGGTCGACGTGGTCTCGCCGGGCCCAGCGGGGGGAGATGCTGATGGAGACGCCGGCGCGTATGGGAGACGGGCCAGATGGGCGGCGTTCCAGGTCCGGCCGTCAGCCAGACGGTACGTTGCGGGACCGACGCGCCCAGTGACTCGCACCGGAGACGTGAACCGACAGGACGTCTTCGAGCGGTGTCCCTGCCGTCTCACGCAGACGTAGTCGCCCTCAGTGATGCGCGGCGTCGTCACGCCACGGCGGCGGTCGTAGGACCTCTTGTTGGACTGCTGTCGGCGTCGAACTCGAGACGCCACACTGTCGGCTCCTGGTGTTGACGGCTGAATGACAGGCAGGTTCAGCCTCATCTGTCGTCCATGCAGGAGCTCTGACGGTGACTTCCCAGTTGTCGTGTGTGGGGTGGCTCGATACACCGCCAGGCTCTTGCGTACCTCGTCAATGAACGCTGCTGGTGGACAGTCTGTGATCCACGACTTGAACGTTTTGTTGAAGCGCTCTACGGCGGAGTTGCCTCTAGGCCAGTAGACGGACGATTTGGTGTGCTTCACCCCTCGGGCGGCCAGATACGCAGTGAACTCCCTGCTCGTGAACTGGGGCCCATTGTCCGTCACGATCTCGTCGGGATAGCCCTCTTTGGCCCACACAGTTGACAAGAACTTGATGACGTCTTCAGTCTCAGTCGATGACGTCAGGCAGACTTCCGCCCATTTGCTTCTGTAGTCAATCAGAGTGATGGCGTAACGGGCAGTCGCTGGTGCTCCGTTGATTGGACCAACGATATCCATTCCCAGTTTCGACCAGGCGCGGTCCGGCAGGTCGACTGGCTGCATGGGCGCAGGGCGTGCGCGCTGGGAGAGGACTGCGTCGCTGTGCTGGCAGCGCTCGCAACTTCGGCACAGCTCCTCCACCTCACGGTTGATGCCGGGCCACCACGCCAGATTCCGCAGCGCCTGTTTCATGCGGACGATTCCGTCGTGCGCGCTGTGCGCCAGCTCCAGGTATCTGCGGCGGAGCTGAACGGGCACAACAACTTGTTGGGCTCCTCTCAGGATGACGTCGTCGTTGCGCACCCACAACTCGTGTCTCATCTTGAAGTACGGCTGGACTTCAACCGGGCAGGCCTTGGCGCTGCTCGGCCAGCCGCGCTTGATCTGATGACGCAGCTGCTGCAGCTCAGGATCAGCAGCTGATGCGGTGCGGACGTCTTGCTCGGTCAGCACGCTCTCTTCATTTGTCAGAAGAGCGATCACCTCTTCTTCAGTGGAGCTGTCTTCATGCAGGTCCGCTTCTTCGGGGTGGCCACGGACCATTGTCAGTGAGCATATCTCGCCAGGGTCGGGCTGAGACGGTGGCGGTTCCGGGACTTCTGCGCTCCCAGTGACCGCCAGCTGATCGATTGCCCCACTCGCGGGGTGCAGGTTTACGTCCAACTGCTTCAGCAGGTCCAGTCCCATGACGGCTTCTTCACCGTCGGAATCTATGATGAAGAACTCTGTGTTGGCTCGCCGTCCACGGTAGGTCACCAGCGCTGGCAGCGTGCCAAGCGCTTGAAACTGGTGTCGACCAAAACCGAACAGGCGAGCAGACGTTCTATTGAGATGACTGCCTTTGAAGAGACGTCTGGCGATGCCGAGTCCTAAAGCGGACACCGTGGCACCTGTGTCAACTTGCAGATTCACGGTCTGCGTGATACCTGGTACCTCCATCTGTACTTCGCAAATCATCTTATCGGTATTTGGTACGGCGCAGCAGAGAACAGTCAGCTCGTGACACCTTCTGTCGTCGTTCCGTTCACCAGACCAGCAGACCACGGCAAAGTGACCCGTCCGCCCACACTGCCTGCACCTGGCACCGGTAGCGGGACACCGACCGCGCTCATTGTGCTGGCGCCGGCCGCAGCTGGGGCACGTGTCCGGTTGCAGCTGGGCAGGTCCGGAACGACGGTCGGCTTGCAACTGGGCAGGGGCGGGGCGGCGGTCGTCTTGCCGCCGGGCGGGTCGCCAGGGCCGGCGCCCGCGGCGCTGACGAGCGTCAGATATCTGATGCAGTGACTGCGCTCCGTCGGCGGCGGGCCGCGCCGGCCCGGCCATGGCGGTCGCCTCGCGTCGGGATCGCTCGAATGCCTCGGCGATCTCCAGAACGCGGTCCAGGGTCAGGCCCTTATCCTGCAGAAAACGCTCGCGGAGAATCGGATGCACTGTTGCTTCCACGACTTGGTCACGTATCATTGCGTCTGTCATTTGTCCAAACGAGCAGTTTACTGCCAGGCGGCGCAGCGCCGCCACGTAGTCGGCCGTTGGCTCGTGCGACTCTTGCCGTCGCTGCCGGAAGAAGAACCGCTCCGCGATCACGTTGACCTGAGGTTCATAAAACTCGGCGAGCTGCCGCTCAGCCGCATGGAACTCGTCTTCGTCTTCTCTCCTCGGCTGGACCGGTAGGGTACGGTACACCCGTTGCGCCTCGGCGCCGACACAGTGCAGAAGGAGAGCCGTCTTCCTCTCCGTGCTGTAGGCCTCACCTCCCAGGGCAGTCAGGTAGTTGTGGAAACTGAAAATCCAGTCACTCCAGGGCAGTGCTGGTTTTCCTGGTCTCGCCAGGAACGGAGTTGGCGGCGACACCCCCTCGACGTTCATCGTCGGTAGTATTCAGGATCTCGTCCTCGTCGCCAGATGTAGTGTTCACCGCCGTCTCCGGATTCCGATGTATTCTCACAAACTCGCGGTGCAAAACACTAAGGCACTGCCGTGCTGTGCGGCCGGGCGGAGCCTCTCGACTGCTGGCTCTGACTGGAGCCGAGCAGGGTGCGGCCGCCTCACACTCGTATTACCGGGGGCCCGATGCCGAGCCTCGGACACCCGATGCACTAGGTACTCGATACACTACACTGCCCTCGTGTGTTATTCGGTGCAATGTGTATATGAACTGCCCTTTGGCAGTAACCGGTCTGACCCGGCCGAAAATAGCACCGCACTGTGGCTGAAAGGGCGGTGCGTGTGGAGCAATCCGGCCCAAAAGACAGGCATCCTATACCCACCCCAACCGTCGCACCGAACAGCACTCTGCCTGCCCTACTCGTCCCCTCAGCTGAAATCCCACCCTCTACGCGTCCCACTGACTGGCGTATTACCCTCCAGTCTCCACCTCCCTCCCACTCGCCCCACCCATCCCACCACCCCTGCTCTCGGGACATTTTGAGGGTGTCTGGCGCGGCGGCCGGGCGACCGCCTCCGTCCAATGATTGCACCACGCACCGCCGGCTGACCGGCTTTCATGGAGCGCCGAGTGCATCGGCGGCTCGAGCGACGTCCGGTTGTCGTTCTTGTGCCGCGATATTGGCTGGTGCCGGGCGGCGGGGATCACGACAGCGCAGTGCCCTACAGCACCGCGCCGCACACATGCAGTGGTGGTCAGATGCCAGTCCAACTGAACAGCGCGGCTAGTATAAATGAAATCATTTTGAAAAATGCGGACATGCATTATGCGTTGCACGCATTTAGGCAGGAAGGAAAAGCGTGCTGGGTATAGGTTAACTTTAACCAACTTGCAATTTGTCTTTCATTTCAAATTTATGTTGTTCTTTTGCGGCTTCCGCGCGTGACTACCCGTCATTTTGCATCAGCTGCGACCTATTCCTAGGAGCCTTCCACACATGGCTTCATTCCATATCATAATCAATTTCGAATCCCGATCTCAGATGTATTGACAGACCTCAATAATGCCTACCAGAAAACACCTTTGAGCTGGGCGAAGGACGACCGACTGTAAAAGAAATAATTGGTGTGCTTTACCGTTTACGCTCAGGCAGGATGAGAATTTATAAAAGCATCAGAATATTAATTTGAATTACCATAAGATAGAATACCAACCGAGCATCATTGCCTTGGTGCCTAACGCTCGCTTTCCACTGTGCTCCAGCTCGGAGCACTGACGCCTGTCCTCACTGTGTTCCAGGTTGGAACACTGACGCGCGTGTCCTTACGGTGTTCCAGGTCGGAGCACTGACGCCTGTCCTCACTGTGTTCCAGGTCGGAGCCCCCTCCAGTGGCTGGGCCTACGAGGCCCGATGGAGCGACGCCGCCTGAGACCGGCTCCCTACATCATCCCCAAGTAGACGGCCAGCTGACCTGGCCGCCGCTGACCCGGCCAGGTCACGTCCGGTGACCTCTGTCAGGTCACGCCCGGTGACCTCGATCAGGTCATGGCCGATGACCTCTGTCAGGTCACTTCAGTCTGGACACAGGGTCAGCTGAGAGACAACCGGACTCAAGCGGGCACGTTTGGTTGGCGCCTCTCGTAAGGTGTGCTCAGAGTGTATGATGTCCCAATGGTGCTGTAAATGGAGACTGTTGTGAACTTGTGGACAGACTGGCCGGTGTTGTACGGACCGGATGGTTGGCCAGAGGAGCCCCGGTGTAGCTCTCCCTGGTCAAGAAGGGACAGACACGGACTCACGGTGGAGTGGGCCGCGCCGGGAAGACCGGATTCCAACCAGTGCCAAGCTAAGAGCGTCTAGCTCTGGATGGAAGACGCAACGAAGTCTCACTCCGATGAGAGGTAAGTTTTGTAAGTGAGGGAGGAAGTTAATTTTCATTTGGTTTGTTTCCTGTGGACTCTGTAGTTCAACCCAGGTCCTCGGTCCGGTCCCGATAATCCCTCAGAAGGCTCACCAGTCACCACCATACCAGGGTCTCCACTGAACCCAGTGATACTGTTCGTTTCGGACTGTTCTTTTCGTGGTGTGAGCTGGCTGGGGTCACGAATTGCGTGCCGTCCCTCACCTTCTCTGGCTGTTCATATATTTCACCGGCTCCTGGGAACCGCCACAGGTGTCTTGTGGTTTGCTCGGGGATCCAGACACCCGCTCACTGTCGCTGGCTAGCACCCGGTCCGCTGCTGTCTACACTCCACAGTTCACGCCAGTTCATATAGCCTTCGAGCCGCCGTGGTTGTCCAGTGTCCATGCTAGTTCAGTTGGATACCTATTTAGTAACCTACGCTAGTTCCTTATTGTTTGACCGACTACCCAGTATACCCACCCCACATCTTTCCGTTGGACCGGAGCGGACCACCTATCACTCACGCCAGTTCATTTTAGTTAGGCAGGTTATCCACGCCATTTAATTTTAGTTAGGCCGATTATTCACGCCGATTCATTTTAGTTAGACTGACTGTTTACCCATGCCAGACCATTGTAGTTGAACTGGTCATTAACGCCAAGTCATTGCAGTTGGACCGACTTCCCACGCCAGATCATTGCAGTTGGACCGATTACCCACGCCATTTCACTGTAGTTGAACCGGATACTCACGCCAATTCAGATAAGCGTCGTACTAGCTATCCATATTGTTATTGGATCAACTTCCCTTCACGTACGTGCAAATTATTCTTCAATCAGTTACCCACACCAGCCTTGCCTTTGGATTGTTGCGGTCTGAAGCTGCTCACCAGGTGGCAACAAGCGAAAGGAAAGGCGGGCTGACAGTCTGCTCTTTACCACACAGTTCAATGTCTCTGCCCTATGTTATTATCTCATAACTCCATAATAGCCTTTTCAGGCCACAGGAGCCTGTTTCCATCAAAACAAGCAAAAAAGCAAACAGGACACCGAGCTGAGAGGGCAGACAGTTTCCGGAAAAGAGGGCGAGCCCATTCCATTTCAAGTCTAGGTTATTATAGCCCATAGAAGTGTTCGTGTCTTCATGTCGTATAGCTCGTGAAATATTCATCATAACATCATCAATGTGAGATCTGCGGTTCTGCACGATCTGAGTTAATTGTTTTCGATCATTTCGATCAAAAAATGTTAATTGGAATAAACGAAATAGTAATTACGTATCGGTTTCAATAAGAAAATGGGATTTCGATCATGTTATTGTTACAGCAGCTTACGTGAAAAACGTACCACATATGTACCAAGGAACCGTCAAACATTGCTCTCCTCGCGAGGCCGAATTAAAGTTCTACGGGCTCTATATCGTTCCTCACAAATTGCTCTCCCACTGCGTAAAGTGGTCTCCCAGGGGTACTTAGCCTGTAGCTTGAGAGGTGCGTTGCCCAGAGCCAAGGCGGTGCTTGACGGAATAACGACGTCTGGCACTAACTATAAGCATTGTTTATCCATTGATATGCATGCGGAATGACTTCCGTAGTTACCTCGCTCTATACTTTGTGACCCATTATGCTGTCCGGAGTGTCGATTACAGCCATAACCTAGCCCCTTAGGCTTTCGTATTATATTTGTTTCATTTACAAACCACCACAAAGTCTCCGTGGATGCTGTGCAGCGGGTGTTGGGTATATGTGACATATGTGACTCGCGGCAGCTGTTATTCAACTCAGACGCTCTAGTGTATCAGGATACGGCCATTAGTTTCACAGTATTCATTTGACTGTCTCGCTCGTGGCATCCCACTATAACTTGTTGCTGACGCTTTTGACAATCAACCGAATCATATCACGAGCTTTGATTTATACATGGATTAATGACTCTGACACGACATCAGTTTATGCTGACACCGAATGATTTATGACGTACACAAGAATCACAGAATATCTCAAAAGGCATGTAATCGTGATGTTGCACGAAGGTAACTCGGAGTTTGCTAAACCACGGGCTGTGTTCTCTCGATGCTGATCCACGGATTACGGAATATGTGCTAATCCACAGGCTGGGAAAACACGGTCTCTTGGCGCTGATCCCAGGACTGTGTGCATAGTGCTGATCCTTGAAGTGCGTTGTTGCTTATTCTCAGTGCATCTTCGATCCAGAGGCTGTGCTAAACACTCGCAATTTGGTGCGTAGTTGGTTGGTTTATATGGACTGTGTAAACACTCCCTGTTATGCGATGCTCCGATAATTCACAAACTGTCCTGCTATGTGATACGCCCATAATCAACAAACTATTATACATACACCCACTGTTATAGACTCGCCGCTATGTGATACGCCGCTGCGTCATTGGATCGACCGGCCGGGCGCCGTATTAGCCGCCGGAAGACATATCCGGGGGATCTCGGACAGCTCGTCTACCCACTCGAGGCGGCGCTGACACGCCATATAAACAAGTTCCGGTGCCGGGCCGCGCGTCAGATGACATTTCCCGAAACGGCCCCCGATCCGCGGTATATACTGTCCGATTTGACTGAATGCAGCGGAGATGGACGCAGCGCTGGTGATTGCCAGTATTCAGATCGTACATCGTCAATGAGCGCCCAATGCGTCGGCTGTTACGCTGCTGGATAGACCGTATTAGTGGACTTTCCGGCATCGCTGTAAACCAAACAACCGGCCAATAGTTTGTTGAGCGTCTGCTCAAACTATTGAAATGTAGTCCGACTCCGAGTGGTGGCATAAATTGTAGGCGAATGACAATAAAAATAAATGTCTCGTAGATTTTCGCATGTATTTATTTACACCACTTATACTTGAAACAAACACAAGCCCATGAATGTTGAGAAAAAATTGTTAGGAGCAATTTGTTCTCAAAAAGTGAACAGCAAGTTTGTCATGGATTCAATTGTCATGTGTAGCTCTTTGTTTCAATCATGTGACCTTATTCGTCGCTCCAAAAATGCGTTCATCATTAGACAAATTCGGTGTCAGCATGATGCGATGCATGGAATTGCAAATTTTCCCTGCTAGTTAATGTCGACACTTGTCTGGATGACTTATCGCTCTCATTCATCACCAATCGGTTCGATGAGCTGACGCGGCGCCGTCCGCCGACCTCGCTGGCTCTGTAGATTGTGTCGCGGGAGAACAGACGATGTGCAGTGCGCGGTCGTGAATCCACGCCCCCGACACGGCCCGTGACCGCGCTACCCCTCCCCACCCCGATCGGCGCCCCATCCCCATGTGACGGATGGCCGGGCCGGGCACATGAGCGAGCTGAGAATTCGCTGGGAGGCGTTGGTGAGTGACGGCGCGCCGCTCCTTGTCGCTGGCACCGGTGTGTATTTTATACCACGGCGGCTCCGGCTCGACGGGCGCGCGGCTGCTATCCCGATATTGCGCCGCTCCCTGAAGTAGATGAATGCTGCAATTTCGGGGCAAACGTCACCGCTCGTCGGCGCTCCGCACTGCCGAGTATTACGCCTGATTGCCATTTTGGTTTGTAATATGGTCGTTACATGCTGTCTGGCAGCGGACGCAGTGATGATACGAGATATAGTACGAGATGGTTCTTCGCCCTTTTCCGCACAAAAGTAGGACACCCCAATCCAATGAAGCTGGCTGAACCTTTGGGCTTATGAATTATCGAAACATGCTGGCGTGGGATCCCGGATCTGTACTACAAGAAATGCAAGATTATGATTATAACTGGCCATAACGGTATATGTCTGCGGCTCTCATGGCCGTAAAAATACCATTTTGCGTTTTATGCACAATCGTGAAACAAAGGTCCCATCCCCATTTATAGGTATGCAGTGCCCGCATATTACATTGGGGCACCATATAACCAACATGTTTGCCTCTTTCACTTTTCCTCTCCTTATGCTGTTCACAATATCCATTGGGAAGCGCATCATTGGTCCTATAAAACATTGGAAGCGGAACTTCACAAACACGTCATCAGTAGATCATTAATTGTGAACACGGCGTAACGATAAAGTGGTTGGACACATTCTACGAAATAAAACAATAATTATTGACTTAGCCTTTTTTACATCTTAAGTTGACGTTCACCATTTAGATTGTTTAGAAACTCGCCACCATAACACTTTCAAAACTGTCATTCAAAATGTCACCCTAACCCTAAAACTGTTAGAATTTCATAACAGTGATCCTTGCATCATATGAAATATTTCAATTACATGTTATCACTCAAAATGTGACTTCGCACCATGCAGGCTCAGAATTAGACGTCGGGTGGGTTTGCACGTGTCAGCTGCGCCTCGCTGGCGCACAGACCGTCGCAATGGAAAAAATCGCATCGCATCGCAAAAAAATTTCCCTAGGAAAAAAACCATCAGGATTTTTCTGATGGTCTGATGGTTTCTGATGGATTTGGCTGATGGTCTGATGGTTTCTGATGGTTCTAGCTGATGGTCTGATGGTTTCTGATGGTCTTGCTTGGTGGTCTGATGGTTTCTGATGGTCTTGTGTGATGGTCTGATGGTTCTGTGTGGTGGTCTGATGGTTCTGTGTAATGGTCTGATGGTGTTGTGTGATGGTCTGATGGTTTTTTGTGATGGTCTGATGGTTTTTAATGGTGTAGCCTAATGGTCTGATGGTCACCCTGCTGACCATCAGACCATCAGAAGATGCATGCGCTGATGGTCTGGTGGTTTGACTGACGGAAAGTCTGATGGTTTGATGGTTCAATAGTTTAGGCCTTATATCAGAAAAAGATTTCATCAGAAAGCCTTATAGCGCTTCGGGGCCGACATCGCGAGTGCTGAGCTCTAAATAGCCAAATTTCTTTCAATTATTTCTCGTGGTCCCCAACAAACACTTTAAACAGCTACCGGAAATTCCTCTAGCGAACAGCGTTGCCAGTTCTCAGAAATAAGTTTATTCTAAATGCATGACGATGAAAAACGACACACTAAAATAATGACTTATAATTAATAAAAATTTATTTTGTTTTAAAAAGAAGGGAATAGGAAATATAACTTGCCTTTCTCATGCATAATTTCTCGTACTTTCATGACCAATGAAGTTATTTAATTGCCAAAATCGGTTAGAAGCTTTCTCTGATAGAAAATAATATTCTTAAATCATTAAGAAGTGATACTTGTAAAAATTATTGGGATATTTGTTCTTTTAAAAAGCAATGAAAACAAACATATTTTCAAAAATGCCGGCGCTGCGTGAAACGCTGCGTTGTTGTTGGCGCTTCATTGCGGTTGAGATGTACGCCTATGTACATTTCCAGTTCCTGAAGGATGGTGTAAAACGTGTGGTGCATAACAGTGACATCAAAGACTTTTTCCCAAAAAATGTGCAAGATTTCGACCCAAGTCTGCCCGTGAAGGTCCTCTGGAGAGGTTTCCGTGATGAGATTCCGACATCGTCTGCGGAGAGATACAAGGGGCTGATCCTGAAATTAGGAGGAGAGGCAAAATAAAACGAAATCGGTAAAATTTTGGGGGGATAAATTATTTGTCAATTGGTGGTGGTATAAATATATTGGTGTTCATAATCGTACCTTTTATCACCAGGATCACCACGGGCTCAGAAAGTGATTGAAAGGGAGCGCCTCCAGGATCAACAGGAACCACAGAACACCGCCAAGGAGCACAGTGACTATCAGAATTCCTGAAACAGTCGCGCCATCAATTGATGGCGCGACTGTTGATCAGAACCGTCAGACCATCAGAAACCATCAGAGTCAGACCATCACAAACCATCAGACCATCACAAACCATCAGACCATCACAAACCATCAGACCATCACAAACCACCAGACCCCTGAACCATCAGAAACCATCAGACCATCAGAAACCATCAGACCATCAGACCAGTGGGCCAATTTCCATGCACCATCAGACCATCAGAAAAATCCTGATGGTTTTTTTTTTCCTAGGGAACCTCACCGCTCGAGCGCGCGCGCGCGAACGCACGCTCCGCCGCTGTGCCGGCGTCCGCAGCGCGCCCAGTGGCGGAGTCTGGTACTAGCCGCGCGGCGGCGCCGACGCCGTACACCGTCACGACTGTGACCAGAAATCCGTGTCTGCCGTCGCAGCGTATGCCGTCACAGGAGATATTGCACATGTCAGCTGCATTACCGAGATCACCGCTGAGGACCAGCTCACCGCTACGCCCATGAATAATGTCCCGCTGGTTATCTGGAGCCCATGTAACTTGGGAATTGTCATGTCATGTCTTTCGAGCCAAATAAAAAGGAAAGGGTCCTGGAATTCATTGAAGCTCTTTGTCCTCTTTCCAGCGGGGTGAAAGCTAAACAAATTACAAAACAAAACAAAACAAAACAAAACAAAACAAAACAAAACAAAACAAAACAAAACAAAACAAAACAAACAAAACAAAACAAACAAAACAAACAAAAGATGAAAAGATACGCTTGACCGGTTTGTCGCTCATACACATTCCAAATCATATTCAATTATTATTCATAACGTGCTTTTAGGAAAAAAAACTGTTCAGATTTGCTGCCCAACGCAAAAAAAAACTACATAAACAGATATCTTATAATTGATAATCATTATCATTTCGGATCTTATCCAGATTTCCTGAACTCATTGACATTAACATGACAATACCATCAACGCGACTGGGTCACTGTGACTCTCTGTAGTTAATTTCGGCGCCAAGTGGGGAAGTTTCTCGTCTGGGCTGACACTCTCGAACCAGACTGGCTGCATAGTTCGCTGGGGAGGAGCGGGGTGAGGGGCTGTGCTCAGGACAGCAGCCAGCTGACCGTGCCCTCTCGAGACACAACTCTGCACGGAACGTTAGGGCTCCAATGAATCGACCCGCGCTAGGACGCATAGGAGGTCGCCAGAGCAGAGATGGCAGAGCCCTACTGTTGGGTGGTGAACGGGCGACAGACAAGTCAGTGGCTAGACTGACGGATCGGGAAGCGCTGCCGAGGAGCTACCGCCTGGAAATAACTGTCAGAATGGGGTGCTGGTCGCTGTGGGTGCGTTGTCAGTCGTTATGTCGACCCGTCTGGATGTCGGCCCGTCTAATGGTCGGTCTTGGCGGTGATTTATCGTGCAGACCTTTGTCCGACCTCTGGCTCCACCTGCAGGCCGCGCCCCGTGCGTCCGGCCACAGGGGAGATTGTTTGGGGTTGGGCCAGATTTCCCCGCGGGTCACCCCTAAATGATGCACGCCCGGCCGACTCGTCAGGCTGCGGGGCGGCCGGCCCGTCTCCCTGCGGAGACACTCCTCCTCAGCCGGGAACGAGCCGCTCCGGTCCGCAGTGCACCAGCCACAGCTGAAACCCGAATTTACTGGCGATCTCCAGAAATCCCTGGAGATTGAACTTGGGCGGTCATTAGCGAAGAACCTGAAACCAACTCCCGCGCTCCATAGCAACTTCATGTGCAGATCGATCCGTATGGGCCGCATTCGTTCGAGAAATAAATCCCGAAAGTTGTCGCTTGCTATTCAATGGCAGCTGTATGCAACCGTCGAACGTTTTGAGAACTCAGTCTATGTGTGCATAGGGCAGAGCTACCAAAGTGCCACTCCCCCCACCCCCCATCCCTGCCTCCCCCGAATTAGCACGGATGGCGCACGGGTGGTCGGTCCGCTCTGTACGGGTGATCGGGGATCGGACATCACCCAACGGTCGCCGGCTGATGGCTCAGCTACAGCTGGTATCGGGCGTCATCGAGTAATGGTCGGCGAGTTGGGCTGTGGCCGGCGGAGCGGAGCGGCGGCACCATATTGGTGGACAGGGCCTGCGGACAGCGGCTCAGCGCGAACCCGCGCCAGGTTATCACTGGCCTGTAATTGAAGTAATTGAGGATTCCCGGGGACGAACGGCTACATAATCGGACGGCTGGGCGGCCAGATTAGCTCTGGCCAGGCCGGATCTGGTGCAGGCCCGCTTACCGGCTTATACACCGGCGGAGGCGGGCGGTCATATGGAGCTCATGACATGGTGCAGGCCGCGGGGGGGGGGGGGATAGGCAATCCTGGTACAGATAGACCCAGTTATAGAAACCCTGACACAGGTCGGTCAGATATAGAATACTGACAGAGAGCAGTCGGATATGGAACCCTAACACAGACCAGTCAGATATAAACTCATTACGGTTACACGGACCGTTCAGTTCCGTTCAGACCAGTGACCCTGACTCCTGACAGAGAACGGCTAGCCATGAACACCCGAACAGTTTGACAGGGACCGGTCAGCACGGCCGGCCCGCAGCCGCCGCTCGGCGCCGTCGGTAATTAAATGTAATTGAATCTGACAGAATTAGATACAGCGGCGCCGACTCACAAATGAGTTAATCACTGCACCTGTCACAGACCCGCAGAGATATGAAATCAAAGCGAGATTAATGGCAGCCCACCAATCTGCCCCCTTTGTTACCGGACCAGGAGACACAGAGGATGGGAAAATTGCGGCCGAATGGCTGATGTCAGTATCAATTGAATCATTTAATAACAGGAGTAACAGACTGCGCGGTGATGTGGTTGTCACACATAGGTTGTTCTCCCATTCCATCTCACTGGCAACACAAACAGACACACACAACAGACACCACACACTATAGGCTAACTCAGCTTTGTCTGTCACCTGCAGGTGTGACCGGTCCTGGACGCCAACTACCGGTCAGCGGTAAGCGGTCAGACGATCACCTCACGGATCGCTGATACTTCACGGAGAGCACATGGTCACCTCACGGGTAGGCTCGTGACTGAGAGGGACACCGCGCCGGGAGGCTCACGGCCGGCGCACCGCGAGTGTTGGTGCGTGTGAACTGCAGCCAGCCACGACAGACTTTCTGTGGTGATACAGACATCGGATCAGCTGGACCTTATAAGGCCTCTCTGACTCGGGAAAGCACTCAGACCCAGTGGCCAAAGCGTGCACAGAGCTAATGGAATGAACCGATAATGAGAATTCTGACGGCTGTAACTGGTCAACTTCATTCGTGAACACGGCTCAACTGACTACTGTTGATGTGTGTGCTACGGCAACTGTATGTTTGTGAACCTTGTAGAGCAGCTTTTGTTATCTTGTTACTGTTTGCGATCCTTTTCGTAGGTATATGATCTTAGAACCGAGCTGATTGATTGAATGGATGCTGAACCATGCAGTCGTGGAGGTGTAGAAGCCCTTCACAGCTGAGAGAGACGGCTGGAAAACGGCGGCGCTGAGCTTCGTAGTGTAACTGGTGTCGAAAGTGGCTTGAAAATGACACTATGTATTGGTTTCAAGAAAGGGGTTCTATGACCGGCAGCTCAGACATATAAGCTCACCTGAGTTTAATCGATTTTATCCTTGCAATTGGTTAACTGCAAGATTATATGAAACCTTACTTTTTCATAATTGCAAAGGATAGCGAGGAATCGCTAAAGCTAGTATCGCGGTTGGGACTCTTGTGTTGAAAGCAATAGTACGCACTTGTCACCTAAGTGAACAGCCGGACTCCGTTTATGAGGTGTCGGACCCAAGTGAACCACGCTATTGAGTATGGGTGCCAAACAGAACAACAACCATCTTGTCATATAACTCGTTATTTATCCAGCAGAGCAGTAGAACCTTACGATGGTCGACATTTACTGGTGGTTAATTTTTTCCCTTCAATCAAGATTATTCCGTAAATAAATAAATACGAGAAGTGTAGGTACCTATCACCTAAAGAAGAATTTTGTGGGGTAATTTTATTCGTTCACAAACAATGCTGGTTGATATGTATGTCTGGCCAGTGTCTGGCTGTTTGCCGTTCGGACTTTGGCGACCAGGGCAATAGGTAATGTCTGCATGCGTGCCTACATACTCGTATTTATCGACCCAGTTTGGTGATGATCAACGGAGCCTAATTTGCTGGATGTGTTTTTAACCTTTGCCGATTATCACTACCCGACAAAGTTTTCACAACAATGAATATGTTTTGTAATAAATGTTATATGTATATGAAGGTTTATATTGGGCATTCTAATAATAAGCATGTATTTAAATGTGTGTTTAATTGATGTACCCTTAAATAAATTTCAACCTTTGTACATGGCCGTAACTGAACAAAATAAATAAATGTTTGACCTGTAATCAACTTCGTTGTTTACGGTATCAAAACTTATTTAAACATAACACACCTAACCCTTAAATCTGTAAAAATATATTCATAAACAGCTATATTCATAAATGGTAGTATACGCGTTCAATTATGCTAACAGCTATGCGCTATATATGAGTTAGCTACATTGCCAAAAAAGGCAATGTCAAGTGGTCAGGTGGCGTGGGAGAGGGAGGTTCCGATAGATTTAGTAAATCCGGCAGAGTGGAGCCAGCATAAGCAAAACTTTATCACGTCGTGATCGATTTGAGGTGATCACACACTAGCCGTTTTCACGACGGGTTATCTGGCGAATGCACCTAAGTCGACCAAATCTGCACACATCTCTATTAAGACAAATAATGAATTTATTTCAGTGTTTTAATCGAAAATAATGCCTGATACCTTGAAAAATCAGGTAATATAAGCAACTAGTGCAACCCAATTGATAACTATTTGGAAACGTAATGGACCTATTTTGACCAAATCGGCACCAAATATGCACCAAATGTGGACCAAATGTGTACAAACTACAAACTAGCCGTCGTGAAAACGAGTAGTGTCTCTAACGTAAATGTTTTCGCGGGTAGTAAACAATCATCATTTAAAACAGCATGTCATAAGTACCTACGAGTTGGGGAAAATGCTCGAAGCATATCTAATCACAAGCAAAAGCGCTTCTTTGAGTAGAAAGCAGTACAGCTCCTGCGTGAGTCTGAGGAAGATGCAGGCTTGCAAGCGTGATTAGGGCTCTAGGCTATCTTCTGCAGGCCCCGTTACGATTGCATTTTGCTGCCAAGTGTTTGCATTGTTGTGCATCTTTTGGCAAACAAAATTGCAAGGTTTCTGATACCATTAAGCTCATTTCTAGAGGGATCTCTTCCGTCCAACTTCGCTAGCCTGACTCACGCCCAATGGATAGGAGGAAACCATTGCCGCATTATTTGATCAGATGACGGCGCGAGATGAGAAGATGTAGGTAATTAATTGGATTTGTTGGCCTAATGGATATACACAATCAGCTAATGGTCCCCATACTCTGATTGCATAAAGCAAATACCGACTGGCAATATGTTTCTGCGATTGTTGACACAACGATGTGTCTGACTGAATCACTATCTCGTGTGTGTAGAAACTGCTGATCGAATGCGAGAGGTCAGGACCTGCAACGAAACAACCTTTGTTCAGGATCGACTCTTGTCTCATAATGGGTACTTGGGAATTGCCCGTTGCAAATATTGAGACCGAAGATGATTTGTAAGAAGACCCAGATTTATTCAGCCATGTCCTTAAACTTTTCGCAAATTCAGAATAAAAAACAATGCGTGGCTGTAGCAATCTAGCCGGCAGAGTGAAGGCATCCATGACTTCCCACTGTTTTCATTCTCTCTCTCTCTCTCTCTCTCTCTCTCTCTCTCTCTCTCTCTCTCTCTCTCTCTCTCTCTCTCTCTCTCTCTCTCTCTCTCTCTCTCTCTCTCTCTCTCTCCCTCTCTCTCTCCCCCTCTCTCTCTCTTTCTCTCTCTATCCTCACCCTCTATCCTCGTGTCTATTTGTGTATCCATTCTGCCGCGAACAACTTTTTCGTTTTATAACTTTCTTTCTATTCACCAGTGCAGGGAGGATTAGGCAAAAATGTACTCTTTTCAACAGTTCAACAAATTCAGCACAAAAGATAGAATGACTGAAAGCCAACATATCAATTTGGACTTTTTGGCTTTGATGCGACGAAGTGAGTTTTTGAAAAGATGTTTGCTTCTATTGAAAGCCTTGGCTAATGCCTTCGATCGAAGATGGTCTGGCACGGTATTGGTTTGATCTTTGAATGCGAGCTGGGAAATATACTTGTCAAAAGCTTTACAACTAAGAAGTCTGGGAAATAAGCTGCGTATCCGAACGACGGACGCTGACCAAACGTTTGAAGGAAGGCGGGGTAGCACCGGCAGCTGGGTAGCACCGCTCACCAAGCCCCTGTATACCCCCGCCCGCCCAGTCGTAGTTTGATGTAGGCTCACCGATGCTAAGGCCACAGTGGTATCCCCTCACTGCTGTCACGGGGGCGATGGATGGACACGTGAGCCAAGCTCTGCTCTTCCATTGAGTCTCTTTCTCTACGCATGAAAAGCATAATTTGTTTCATGTGACTTGCTTGCACGTAATCACGTTTTATTTTCTGTGAAGCTTCTACATAGAAGCAGGATTCATCTCGTTATAAGTTAGGCTTAGACAAGTGGAATTAGGCACCCGTTTTGAAATGACGCAGACCCCGCCCATTGTATTTTCGCTCTTTTGGACCGTTTACTTTGGGGCTTTGGGGCTAACTTTGGGTTTACTTTGGGGCTTTTGGGGGGCTTTACTTTTGGACTTACATTTACTGGCTGGGAGGTCAGGTAAGCCAGTTTTTTATGTTGAGTGATATATGACCAATCAGAACTTTACCCTCGAGTGGTTTGGTGATCCCCCTCCCCCCTCCCCGCTCACACACCTCCCTCCTGACGTTTTCTTCACGATTGGTCGGAACACGTTAGCGGTAGAGAGCTGAATATTGGCATAATTGATCTCTAATTTAAACCGAATATTTAACACCGATCGCATTTTCAGTCCAGGTCAGGCCATTGAACCATGGCGTCATAAATGAGCCTTTTCACTGTCCTAAAATGCTAACACTTCACATGACCTCATTGCCAGGGAACCTTTTGCAGGGATATGAAATTTACAAGACATAGTAACCTCTCGAGGGATCACTACTTTTGCCTATTTCGAATTTTTCATTCATTCGGTCATTCATCTTACAATCATGATTATGCCCTGCATCATATCAAAACAAACCTATCGCATGAGGTGGAGTAGGACCCACCCACTGAGCTCGGAACTGGCGCCCAGCCGTTGTTTGTGTGTTGTGTGATGGCTGTGTCCGCGTCTGTGTGTGTAGATGTGCTGAGGCTGCCCGTTTCGTATTGACGTAGGTGTCAGTCTGACGAAGACGTCGGCCTGTCGCGGGGATCGCCGCCGTGATCGGACCGATAATGGATGTGGCGGAGTGGGCGACAGCCCGGCAGCTGCCGCCCACCGCTCATCTCCCGCCGGCCGCCGCCCATCGCTCAACGTCTACCGCCCGCCGCACAGCACAACGCTCACCGCCCGCTGTCCACCATTCCCCGTCCACCTCCCACCGCCCAAAGTCCACCTTCCACCGTACTATTACTTCCACCTCCCACCAATCACCGCCTTCCGTCCACCGACCTGACTTCCACCGATCAAACGTCCACCGCCCACCGTCCACCGCCTACCGTCCGCCGCCCACCGCTTTCCGTCCAGCGCCCAACATCCACCCATCAAACTTCCACCGACCAGTCCTGCATGAATATTATAACAATTTCACAAACGAAGCTTGCAGGACCAGTCCTTTGTGAGCCATGAGGGACGGTCATACATGGCAGTGGATCGCCCATGATCGTAAATACAATACAATACAATACAATACAATACAATACAACCTACACGACTATCTGACTAGATAATTTTCCATGTAAGGCCTTGGAACGTGCAAGGGAAGATTTCAGAGAAATTTAAAACCATCTCCGACATGAACATTACTACCAAAATGCAGACTTGAAGAGAAATGTTCATTGTCCGGAGACGTAAGTCAGCATCGAATTGATTATTGGAATCCAGAGTCTCAGTCTGGAGTCGGAGTCGGAGTCGGAGTCACGGATAATCCACCATCGACTCCGCAGCGCTCCAAGTCACTAATGTAACCGTTTTCTCCCCAGTGGCGCATTCAATTTCTCGTGCATTGTGTAGGCCCACGATAATTAATTTGAACCCATGCGGCAACCAGGCAATAAATTACATTACTTCAGCAGTAAGGGGCATTAATCAAGCTAGTCTTTTAAAGTTGGTCGCCACCATGACCGCCTGTCCAGCTCAACTTAACGTGGAACACGATCAGCGAGAGATTAATAATGCCACTGCACCCTGCATCTTAACGTTAACGTTGAAAGTTAGCTGTAAGCCTTCATTTAACGCCATTTTTCGCCGTTTTAAATGATGCATAATTAATGCATCGTTTTCCTAAATGGTTTTCTTGCCCTTTGTTGCATCTTTTGTGCATGAATATATGTTTACCTAGAACATATACATTATGCAGTGTGCAGTGTGCACTGGCGGATCCAGAAAGGTAGGTAGTCTTCTTGGACGCTGTGGGGAGGCACATGACCCCACAAAAGTTTCTCCAATTCCCAAAAACTACCGGATTTAGATTCTTTATGCACTACTGAGCTGTTTAAAGCAAACTTTTCCTAATAAATGTTGTTTGTTTTCTTTTGATTCTCGGAAAACACCTTTTTATTTTGTCGATTTCGGGCGCCGTGGGGGGAGGGTTAGAACACTTGCCCAGAATGTCCCTTCCCCCCCCCCCCATGGATCTGCCAGTGCCTATTTGTGCACTCAGCACTGTGCATACCGTTCGTATATCATATTCGCTAAAAAAAAAACACACACACACACCGGCTTGGCATCGCGATTACCTGATTGGCCAGGTCCACTTTGGCTGGTGAACCACGGCTGCGGGGTCGGGTTCAAGTTGTATCATAGCGGTTCGGACCGGGCGGGATCAGTCATGCCTACCAGCAGTGTTCGCCATGGGCCGGGCCAGCCCAATGGGCCATGGGCTGGGCTGGGCTACGGGCTGGGCTGGGCCCTCAAATATGAAGGATCAATGGGCTGTGGATGGGCTGGGCCAAGAACTGTAAAGTGGAGCCAGGGGCTCGCAACTGTGACAAAAACTAACTACATAGCTTATTACAGTGTGCAAGACTTAAAAACGAGTTTATAAAGCACGCATGCAATGTGCATTGTGCATGCTGCTATCAAAAGATTGTTCCTTTGGGTACTTGTGTGGTGGCAATAATTTTCAATCTATTCATTTTTGACGGGCTGGGCTGGGCTGGGCCTTGACGCTTTTACCATGAATGGGCTCGGGCTGGGCCGGGCTGTGAACCAATGGGCCTGGGCTGGGCTGGACTGGGATTTTGCGGCCCGTGGCGAACACTGCCTACCAGTTGTAGATTGGTGGGGCCTCGGCTTGCCCACTCGTTTGGTGCGGCCGCCTGACGGTGAAGGCTTCCCTTTGCGAGCTGCCACCTTCGTTTGGCAGCAGTGGTGCGCCGGGTTCGTGTTGTTTCGCCCCATGTGGTGGGGAGGTGAAGTCGGAGGCCCCCGGCCAGTGACCGGGTCATTCTCGCTCGGTGGCCCGTTGGGTTCGGACGTCCGCTGTTGTGTAGGCTGACGCACTCTGGGCTCTGTCCCTCCTTTCACGATTCATTTGTATGGTTTGAGGCCGAGTTCGCGGCCGCTCAGCTGCAGTGCTTTGCCTCCACTGGTTTGTTTGTTTTGTTGGGTTAGGCCCTTTCGGTCCAATTAGACCATTTCAGAGCCGGGAGGATGATAGGATATAGGAGGAGACATTGGTCTGGGCAGGCACCCTAGTGAGTCGCCGGGGCTGAGCCCGTCCAGAGGACAGGCCACCCAGCCCCAAGGCACTCACTGCACCCGGCTACGGGGTGCGCTCCCTCAGGAGCAGCGGTGCCGCTCCAAGGGAGCAGCCCGCATGAGATAACGTTGCCTGTCCAGTCTGGAGGGGGGTTGCGGCTTGGAGGAGAAGGATTTTAGTATCCTGAGGATAGAAGCACGGATAGGTCTGCTCCACTGGTTTAGTTGTGCTGCTCTTTGTTTGGTCTTTGATAGGAGTTTGGTAGTAGTTCACTCGTTTTGTTGATTCCACATTTTGTCTAATTTTCATTGATTCACGCTCTGTTGGTTTTTCCTTATTCTTCTCGTCATTGGCCTTCTGATTTATTTAGGATTGCTACTTGGTTTTTATTTGCCTTCCTTGGCTTGCTTAGATGGTTATCGAATAACGATGCCTACTAGGCAATGTGTGGAACGACAGCAGCTGGGTTGTGGTCAGGGGTGGGGCCGTGCCGAGGGCTCTATGACACAGCGTTGTGACCACCAGAGCTGCGGGACCAAGTGCGGCCGCCCCCCCCCCCCCGCGCAGTAGCTCACGTGGCTGAGGGTAATGAGGGGTCGGTTCAAATCTAGCGGTCACTTCTCCCTCCTCCTCCCCGGAGAGGATAACGGGAGGGGGCAGACACAGAGCCCGGGGACCGCTCTCTCAATAATGGGACGGTGGGGAAGGCTGTTAAACGGGCCATAGCCGTTGACAGTGCCACAGGGACACGTTAATTGTGTCCCATGATAGCGGACGTTCCTTCACAAGGGAAGGAAATATCGCCAGCACATGAGGCACTCGCGTGTACTAACAGTTAATGGCGTCCCTCATCGTTCCACGTACCAACGTTTATCAACGTATTATATAAAACAGCGAATAAATATAACATTAAATCACCAAAAGCATGGCAGTGAAGGTGAATGTTTTATTCCATAACATTTAAAGTTACTGCCATGCCATTGACCGGCATGCTATTATATATTTATACGGGAATGCTATGCGTGTTAGAACGTGAATGCAGCAGTCTGCAATAGCTGTTATGGACGGTTATTGAGTGAACCAGTACATATGCATGTCATTGATATGTTATATTCTGTCACAGTTCAAATAAGGTACCGATAGATAAATCAGTCCACTTTTAAACAAGACGTTCTTTTTAACCCAAGATACCAGATAGTTGCGAGACCATTTACAAAACTGAAGTGTCCGCCGGAGGCCAAAACCCCAATGCAACAATAACAGTTCAACATCTCAGCACCAGACAAAACCATGCATAGTTGAGTTATCTCAACCCTACGGCCTACACACAATACACCATACACATAAATGTATCGCTCCAGGCGCTCGACTCTGATTAGAGCGGTGACTTTTAACATCTGGTGGAAGACATCCTAAGTAACAATAGCTAAGCTCCGGCCCGCAGCTAGCAAAACGATAGCCAATTCAATGGAATAAGCAACATACTGTACTGGATTATGCCCTCCTATAGCTTTGCAAAATCTTTTTTTTTTCTTGAACGTCAATAACTCTCAGAGCTGGAAGTTGCGGGCTGCTTTGATGACCTCAGCGACACTGCCGGTCTTGAACGAAACCTCTGGTTGCTGGTCCCGCCGCCAGAGGACAGGGAAGTGCTCGGAGGCTGCGCGGTCGCCGGGCCGCAGCGGCGCCATCAGAGGCGGTGACACGTCCCAGGGCCGACTGGCCACCACGGCATCATCGCCTGTAAACAACAGCAGCCGACCGAGCTCGGAAACCGAGCCGGTATCGGCCGGAGCTCGGCGGATCGGGATCCGCCGGCCGCGCCACATCGGTCCAAACTAGCCGTAATAGGCCCCATCCTCTGACCGGCGCCCGTCAGATCGTGTTCGACTGACGAGTGACGGCAGCAAGGTCGACAACGGGTCGGAGCGTGAAAAAAAAATGGCTGCACCATGCAGGAATTGAAGTTAAGTCATCAATACTTTAATAAAAAAAAATCATTGTAAGGGTTTGATGAAAGTATTTCACAAACTTCATATTATTTTCAAGAAAAAGGTAAAGAAGCCCTTTCAAAAATGTTGATCAAAATTTGAAGGCCGCATGTTAAGTCCAACAAGGCGTCATGTATTAACAAGAAAAAATATATCGCCACACTCACCGAACCACCTTGTGGAGAGGACGCGTCTGTGTGTCGTCAACGAGGTGTTACCGGGCGCACCGTGCACCGTTTTCATGTGGAACACTAAACAGTCGCCCGGCTGAGGGAGAGAAACAGAGCGGGATTAGCTGGACTCTGTGCAAAAATGGCGAGAAAACAGCACACAAACGCCGTGGCTGGACTTAGCCTGAATGCTGCAAAAGAGGCACATGTTTAGTGTTTACTCGAACAGCAATCCGTTTCAGCAAGGAACTGCCTTCGACCATGCGTCATCTCAATTTATTAGCAATCGTGTTCCTAAAAAAAGCGCAAGACTCCATAACTAATTAGGCTCGAGACAGACGCCGCTGACTGACCTCGACGGCCCAGCTGAGCAGCTCGTGCTTGCCGGCCTCAATGTCCTCCTCAGGCACGTCTTCGTACACCCTTTCGGCACCGCCTTCCCCCGCGGCGGCGTCCGGTCCCTCCGAGAGCGGCGGGTAGCGCCGACCAGTGGCGAACTTACGCGGGAAGAACCACGAACTCCACAGGTGCGAGCCGCGCACAAACTGGATGGCCGCCTCCAGAGGCACCGGGTCTACCGGCATCCAGATACTGCACACCTGCGGGAGCAGAGCGAGACTGCACACACTTAGAGGCCAGATACTGCACACCTGCGGCAGCAGGGAGGTACTGCACACACTCAGGTAGCGGTCAGATACTGCACACCTGCGGGGGCAGCGAGATACTGCACAAACTCAGGTAGCGGCCAGACACTGCACAACCTCAGAGACAGGACAGACATTGCACACATATTGCGGAGCACGAGCCACGAAGCTACCGGTCACATTCAGACAGAAGGAACTTACAGCACAGATACTGCACAGATACCGCATAGATAATCCACAGACACCGCACAGATGCCGCAGATAATCCAAAGGTGCTGCACACAGTGCCGCAGGTGTGCACCAGGTACTGCATGGTGGAATGGCTGCATGGGTATCCTTCAGACGAGTGATCCAGCTTAGGGCATTTCGGGTGACTGGAAAGGTCAAACCAGCCCTACAAAGGATACAGTTTGGTAGGCACTGTGTTTAGGCAATGTCCGTAAACATAGGTCGAGGACATTCCACCAGCCCTCTGTGGAGCTACATAGTGACTGGCTCACAGTGACTGGCTGGGATATCCGGGGGGACGACCTTATTTAACCCGCGCCCCACTGGGGTCAGCGTATAACACGCCCTACTGGGGGGCTATTCATAGCCCCCCTCCTAACTCCGAAACTACTGAGCCGATCGTCAAAATTCAAACGGCGTCTGATAGCCCCGGAAAAACTGTCGAACAAAACCTAATTTCATTGACCTCGAGGTCACCGATGACGTCACAGGTCAGGTCAAAGTAAAAATTATTAGCATTTTGGCTTGTTCACGTTTTGGGCTCTGGCCGCCGTCTTACAAGTCAGATCAGGCTCATTTTTGGTTCACACACTCGTGAACAGATGCTCTAGATACCCTGAGGGTACCAAACTTGTACTTTGATTTTCAGGTCAAGGTCAGGTCATCACAGGTCACGAAAATATTATATCATTCGTCGGTCACGTGACACATGTTTTATGGTCCATTTAGGCCAAAGATTTCGTATTTGATGTCTTCTGTGTCACTCGAGGTCATTTTGAGTCGAATTTAGCTTAGGTCAGGTCACTTTCAGGTCAAAAAAGGTCAAATTTTGAAGTTATAATTTTTCAACAGAAAAGGTGTCTTTTGGATGCAGTTTGAGCTCAGGAACACAATGGTGCTATTTATATTGGCTTACGATGTCAAATACGGGGTGAAAATTGATTTGAAAAATTAATAATTGTGTATTTTTTTGCAATAATGCGTATAACTTGGCAATTTTTGAAGATATTTAGCTTAAACTTGCTAGAGTTAGTTTCTATCACATATATTCCGGTTTTTTCGAAAAGTCAAAAACTTTTTGAAAAAAAAAAATGTAAAAATGTAAATTTTGAATTTTATTCTATAAAATTTTCGAAATTTAAAATTTCGAAAATCCGAGATAGCAGTTTGATAGCGCCGTCTATTCTGAGTCCTCTCATGCAAAGAAATTGGATCTAGCTTAAAAACTGAGCCCTTGGGAGCGATTGCCGTGGTTCAATGTTTTGCGTCGAAATCGGCCGAACATGATGTCATTCTGACGTCATTTTCGGCTGACCTATGGTAGCTACGAAGTTCAAATTTTGACACAAGGTGTCAAATTGATGCAGCCAAGTGTACTGAAAGTTTAGCGTCGATACGTCAAGCGGTTTGGAAGTTATTGCAGAAAAACGGGAGGGGGGCTATGAATAGCCCCCCCCCCCCCAGTGGGGCGCGGGTTAAACGGTTCAAAGCAGGCTGGGACCGGATCTCCTGTTCACTGTTTTCTTATTTCAGAGTTTGGAGCTTGTGTTGTTGTTAGACCTAATAAATGCGAAAGTTCCTTGATACAGATGCAGTGTAAACTGGGTAGAGTACCTACCAATATCTGTAGCAGGTTCTGAGTCAGTCATCTGGAACTCTGGCAGTGGTGAACAGACATCCTAGATTTGGTTAACGAAATGTGATAGTGACATATATGAATTTTGTATGTGAGAAATCAATACCTAATGATGATCGTGAACCAAGAGAGAGTTTGCGTAGCTCGAGCCCGGATCACAATACGGCTGAAAGATGAGCCAACTTCGCACTGTTGTTTCAGGAAATGGACATGGGGCATAAAGCACACATGCATGGTGCACACTCAAAACTTTTTTACTACCTCCTGGAGAGTTCATTTTCATCAAACCCGCAAGAACATAGTATATTGAAAGGGTAACTCGCTGCTACCATTATGTGCATAGTAACGGTACGTGGTAAATATGAACTTATTCGCCAGCGAAGAGTATTAATACCATGTAAATATCAATATTACTCTCGCGATCCAGAACATCACGAAAACTCTTTCCTCCTGGGTATCGTGACTCGGGTACAGATAGTCGTTTCATGCGTGGATCTTGTTTACCCTCGTGAAGATGATATTTGAAATGGAAACAATCAGCCAATCAGAAACGAGATCGGCCGTTTGCGGTTTGAAGGCCGCGCGCATCTGTCAGTTTTCGGCCGTTGGTCTCCGAGAGCGGATGTGAGCAGTGTCGGTGCCGCGCGGCGTGGCCGTTGGTGATTGTGCTTGTGTGTTGTTCATCGCCTATAGAGCCTCTGTGGACATTTTATTGTAAGTACCGATGTGCTAGAGCATTGCGTGCCGTTGAGTGGTGCTAATTTGACCTGGTTAACAGGACCCCGTGCACGGCCACGTGGCCTAGTGTTGTGAGTACGTACATTAATTTTGTTGTGATGCTACAAGTTTATGCATTTTGTTGGTGACTGTGAAAAAGCCTTGCACTGTAGTGATCCAGTCTCATTATCTCACGCAGACGGGCGACCACCCAGGAACGCCGTCGCTCACTTCAAATATTGTGCGCTCTGCCTAATCCAATATGAGGGCGCTGAATGTCTTGTATTTATATTCAAATTGCATTCAAGTTGTATCGTGGTGTTTATTTACCGCTTGTGCATTGCTGAACGCTTTGTATAAATTTGTATGAATAAGTGAAGAGTCTCACAATGTTCATGGTTGGTGTGCCCCTCGTATTGTTTGTACGGAAGCCAAATATACCTACATTGTTGCTCTTGAAACATTTTTTTTTTTTAGTTGGTGAGCTCCGGTTAACAGAAGCTTCGTGAAGCTTCTGAAGGAAGCGTCTGTGGGTCTGTTACCATCCTCTGGGGGTTTACACTAAAGGAAAGAGTAAACATTACCATGTGACAAAGGGTAGGCCATAAGAATATACTCTCTGTAGGAGGGTAAAGCACAGAGTAGATGATGCGTTACTCCCTAAAAAAGGGTTCCGTTAAATATTTACCCTTTCAAAGAGTGTAACCCAAAAAATGTTACACTCTAGACAAGAGTAAATCAAAAGAGTTTACCATTCAGAAGATGGTAAAAAACGTCTGTGTGTCATGTTACCCCTCCCTGGCGAGTTTACTCTTCATGAAAGAGTAAAATTTACCATCTGGAAGGTGGTAAAAAACGTCTGTGTGTCAAGCTACCATGCTATGGCGGGTTTACCCTTCAGGAAATGGTAAAAAAGTTTTCAGTGCACTTATTGCATACACAGGCAGGAACTGAAAACAGGACACGGTCATTCTCCGAGATGACAATAATCTGGACGGACGATACGTGACCGTGACTGTGCGCTGCGCACCACTGTTCGCCGAAGGGAGGTATAATGACGGTCTGTGGCTGCGTCCATATTCGTATGTGCGGAAGGGGACAGAGATGGTGGTGCTCCGTCTCTTTCACCTCACCTTTGTGCCGTCGATGGGGTAATAGCTCTGGTCGTGGTGCCACGGCGTCAATTTAACCGTGCCCGGCTCCTTCGTCAGCACGTGCTCGTGGTAGATGGCCGATACCTAAGGAAATGGTGCGTTATCGGTCAAATTGCCGACACGTGAGGACATGGTGCCTTATCAATAAAATGGTTGATACCTGAGAACATGTTGCTTTACCGGTCAGCATCAATGGCGCGATAGTAAGACGTTATAATTCCATTTCCATTGCCATTGAATGGCACCTCTCGGCTCTCGTCATTGGAATAAGTCTCTTACTGAGTAGGTACCTATTAGACAGTAACTGAATAATCACGCGCATGTTTACTCAAAAACGACGTTTTACATTGGGTCTTCTGTTAGGATTGTCGCTAATCAACCGCAGAACGAACACTAACTGACAAACAGATTTTATATGAGCTGACCTGGGACTCCATCAGTCTGCCGGCGATCTCAGCTGCCGGCGACTCCGTGATATACTCTCGAAACTGGGGAATCTTCTCCCAGTTACAGTAGTCGTTGAAGTAGGCGCCCTCGCTGTCATCACCCTGTGTGGAACGGCGTTGCATCATGAACTATTGCCAGCTATTCAATGTTTTTAAAACTATCGCATCAAACATGACTGCGGCTAACAGAGCGGTTGCGCGGGGCTGACTCTGGTCGGGGCAAGTGTGGCGCTGGGGCGGCGCGGGCGCCGTCTGCCTGTCAGCGACCATCAGCACCAACAGCGCGCTGGAATACAGGACTGAAGGACTGGGTCGGTGCTGTTTATATGTCGCCCGTCAGTAGGATCGTCGACACGGTACCGAGGGGGAGGGGGAGGGGCCGGTTCAGTTCGAGAGGACGACCGTCGCGTCGGTGTCCCCTCACAGACGACACTGACCGACTCCGACATGAGGTGTCAGCGGGTTGTCGAGACGTCCTCCACGGTTTATCAAACGAGTAATGAGCATAAATACATGGTGCATGCATTATATATGCGCACAAACACGTACAGTAGGTAAGACTATATCGATGCACCTACCTAAAATATGAAATTATCATCTTATTTTATGTTAGTTAGGTAATTGAAGCAATATCTAACTTTTCATCAGAAAGTATTCGTTACTACACAAATAGACTTCACTTTTAGTGTTTTTATTACTAAGCGTTTTCGACAGACAACATCAAAACTAGCTTCGGGTACGTATTACCTACGTTTGCATTTGCAGAAATTTTAAAAAAAATTAAACTGATACGTACTACCCACCGAGCATGATTGCCAGACTTGATAGGTTATGCAGACATCACATAATGCCAGAGGTGCGCATGCTTTAGAAAACAATTAAGTTGCGCCTCAAGCGGAAGCTGTAGGCTCTTTAGTGCCAAGTCTTTGCGTTCCTTCCGTACATTATTTTATCCCAAAAAGAAAAAATAGTGTAAGCATATTAGCTGTTGTATCGTATTGACCTAAACGAGAGTAATTTTCTCCCGGCACCACCTCAGTAGCATCATTTCCGACTGAGTAGAGCTATTCCCGTAAGCACCGTGCCCACATGTCCCCCATGAATATCCAATGACCCACCTTGAGTGACTCGGCGCAGGGGCTGGGCGCCGCCTTGTTGGCCTCGATGCCCTGTCTCACGGCGTCCACCCAGCGCTCAGAGAAGACGCGTCTCAGGCAGACGGCGCCGTCCATGGCGAACTGCTGGATGTCCAGCTCGGTCACCAGACGCGCCATCGCCCTGAGGACAGACAGGGTCAGCTCCGTGACCAGACGCCCTGGGGACAGACAGGGTCAGCTCCGTGACCAGACGCCCTGGGGACAGACAGGGTCAGCTCCGTGACCAGCCGCCCTGAGAACAGACAGGGTCAGCTCCGTGACCAGCCGCCCTGAGGGCAGACAGGGTCAGCTCCGTGACCAGCCGCGTCATCCTGCCTGAGGACAGGGTCAGTATCATCGTCACCACAGCGACCACTCCTCCTATTTCCTTGAGGACAGGGACATCTTCGTCATCATCTCCCTAAAGACAGGGTCAGTATCATTGTCACTATCTCCCCCTGAAGGCAGGGTCAGTATCATTGTCACCATCTCCCCCTGAAGACAGGGTCAGTATCATTTTTTTCACCATTTCCTTGAGAACAGGGTCAACTCCGTCACCAGTTGTACAAGCTCCCGTCGGACAACACGATCACAACTGTCACCAGAGCGACCCTCCCCCCCCCCTTACCCCTCGATCAGCAGTATCACAAGCCATACTATTCTGACGATGAACAGTCGCTCTTCGTTCCGTGCTCTCGAGCCAAGCCCGGAAGAACTGGCGGCACTCGGAGTCTCGACAACCCCAGCACTGCGCAGCACGCATGCAGCGATAAAAAGCCCCGGCTAGGAGTTATTCGTTTATTTTCGATCTCGTCCCAATGATAATTACAATTCGAGATGAATAAACAAATAAAGTATTCCAGGATTATAAAGCGGCTGCGATGCTTTCATAGCAAGTATATTTTAGCGCTTAATTCTATTGCAGCCATATCATTTAGGTACCTAATTATAGACACGATCACAAAGTACTAGAAAGTGGGCATTTATTCTTCATTCAATAACATTTCCTGGACGAATTTAAGGCACCTAGTGAATAGCTATTAAATTGTGCTTGCTGTGCAATACTCCAATAGTAGGCCTATATCATAAGAACTTCACTAAAATAGTAGGGGAAGCCGGGGGAAGCCCGGGCGCGGGGGAAGCCCGGCCACCCCGTTTCCGGCTAAATTATTCACAATAAAATGCTCAACTGTTTGTCCTTTCAGCGTGGCAGCTAAGGTAACGACAGCAAAAAAGTTAAGGCTGACAAAAATTGCATATTGTTAAAGTTATAGCGCAAAAATGATATTTTAATGGTTTTTAGCTAAAAAGTGAGACATCTTGCACTGTTAATGTTATACCATACAGTACTAATATTTATACGAATGTTATGTAAGGACAGTTTAAGTGTTTGTAGTGAGGGGTCGACGACGCAGGCTGGCTTAAGTATGACATTTTTTCGAATATCGCTGTTCTAAAATAAAAATTAGCACATTGGGGTAACCCCGGGCGAGTGGCCAAGCTTACCCCCAACCGAGAGCAATGCCAATAAACCACTGTTTTCCATGAGATAATAGGTACTGAGCAGGTTTGGTTTACACCTAGATCAAAGATAAATTTCGAAAATAAACATGTTATCATAGACAAAGCCAGTCATGTCACTTAAGGTCAACTAGGGTCAAACTACGTTTTTGCAGATAACGCGACAGACAATGAAGCTAGAGCTTCAAAAATGGAGTCGTTGTGTTCTTCTTCATCAGCCGAGTCGAATGACATGCAATATGATGCATTAAGGTAAAAAGAAAAATACATTTTAAGGAATTTTAAAATACACATTTTTTTGTCAATTTCGCATCACGATTTTCATCGACCTGTATTGTATATGTAGTAGACGCTAGCTAAAATGCCAGTAGTGACATAAACTCTAAGATGTCCAGAGCTAATCAGTACCTTAAAATTTCACTTTCCGTTAATATTTGGAAAACACATAATGGTTTCATCAACTTGTTGTAAAGCGCTGGGGAGGTGGCCGGCGTTACCCCTATGCCGGGCTTACCCCAGAAAAATCAACACTTTTTTAAAACTCGATTTTCTCAACCTTATACTTATTCCACAAAACCGAATTTTTGGGAAAACACGGCCAATGAACTTAGGTAGCTAGCAGGATATCAACATTTTATACAGCATGTATGGTATGTAATAAAAATGAAAAAGAGCTTACTATGCCGGGCTTCCCCCGGCTTCCCCTAACTAGTAGCCAATAAATTAACTAGTTGTACGTACATTCCTACATCAGTAAAACAAACCAAAATGCAATTTGCGTGTATTTCATCACAGGTTATAGCTGTACGGTTTCCGACTTACATACTAGTCTTGATAGGCAAACCATCGCTTATTAGCCCGCTAGTTGCTGGGGGGGGGGGGGCGTTAAACGCTCCCACTTTTTTCGCCGGGCCATAGCATAAAAACGGCGCGCCGCAGGCGCGCCAAATTTTGGGTACCTGTAGGGAATTGATTGAAGTTGATTGTGACAAAGTTTCAAAAAAATCGGTCGGAAAATTTTTGAGATATCAAGGTTTTAGTGACGTCATGATTTCTGAGTTTTCGACCAAAAACGGCATATGTTCAAAAAATCATATAAAATCACAGCATAGACATACAGACATGCCGTAAACGCCATTAGACTGCCAATACCATGGGAAATCAAATGGCTATCTTCGATTTTTGATTATCCCGGCAGGCGGTGGGCCTACCAGCCACCTTCCGCGCGGTGGGGGGGGGGGGCATTTTTTTGCCCCCCCCCCGTATCTCCGAAACTACTGGACGGATCCGGAAAATTCAAACGGCGTTCGATAGCCCTGTCAAATTTGTCGAAGGAAACCAAATTTCATTGACCTCGGGGTCACCGATGACATCACAGGTCAGGTCAAAGACAAAATGTTTCACCGTTCACGGGGCTTCTAGGGAAAGCGCTATAACACCGAGTAAAACGCATTTTGTCGAAAATCAGCGATGAGGCGTCAGTTGTCTAGTACATATGTTGCTATTAGAGGTCACCGGTCATACCAGGTCAGGTCACAGGTCAGGTCACCAAAGGTCACCAAGGGTCACCACATGAGCCCAACTTTACTAAGGTTATGCGATGCATGTTTTATGGCCAGTTTTTCATTTCCAACTCAATGGTGTTGGTTATAAGACCATCAGGTACGGTTAAGGTCACTTTCTGGTGGAGGTCAGGTCAAGGTCATGTAAAAAAAGGTCAAATTTCAAAGTTGATATTTTTGCATAAAATGGGTATCGATTCGATGCAGCTCGTCACGGGGAGTCTAATGGTGGTCTTTGTTTTGCGCTACGAGGTCTAGTATTGCTAAAAATTGAGCTTGAAAATTTGACGTCATCAATTTTGAACAGTTTGTTCGCTATAACTTGGCCAAAAAAAGAGGTATCGATCTCAAATTTGGTATGTAGATAGAATGCGGTAGGGACTATCACATATATTCCGGTTTTTTTGAAATTCAAAAAACTTTTTGGATTTTTCGGCTATTATATTCGAAAAATCTATTTTTTTTATTTTTGGGGGTCAAAATCCAAAAAAATCGAAAAACCGAAATAGCAGTTTTGTAGCCCTTTTGATTCCACACCTTTTATGTCTGAAACATTTTTAAGTATCTCTAAAGCTGTAGGCCTGACAGCTCTTCCCGCGAAACCTTTTTTTTTTTGGTCGAAAATGGCAAAAATGACGTCACTCTGACGTCATTACCGGCCAACCTATCATAGCCATTTGAAAAATTTTTGGTCACCATGTGCGCTAGCTGCTCCCGGGAGGGTACTGAAAGTTTGGTGACGATCGGTGCAGCGGTTCTCGAGATATATCTAAAAACTAAAGGGGGGGGGGGGCAAAAAATTGCCCCCCCCCACCGCCTGGAAGGTTATCGTTCCGCATTTTCCAAAATCTTGAACTGAATCTTGGCAATTTCTCGTGACTACCTCACGACCATGATACATGCATTTCATAAATTTAACTTTTTGAGCCAAACGCGTACACATATGATAAAATGAATGTCACCATCGTGTTCTACGCCCCAAATTACCCATAAAACATGTGTCACAGGCTGCGAATATCAGTTTTGATTTTCGGGGATATGTGCCTACCCGGTTGACCTGACCTTGACCCTGACCTATGCTTGACTGACCCCTACATGGAGCTGACACTCTTGTAGGCCTTATATGATGGATTGTGCACCGTTTTGACAGAGTTTATGACGAGAGGCGCCCATTGCGAAGTCCTGAAGTCCATGCTACTGAAAGCCCGATTTCAGGTGTTTGACCTGACCTTGACCCGACCTGTGACCTCAAAATTCAACTTTAAAGTACTCATCTGAAGCGTCTCGTCGCGTTCTTTCGTTTGCCGCCTCGTGCGTTTCGCTGCGCCTATTGGTTCTCGAGTTATCGGCTGGGGGCGTTTAACGCCCCCCCCCCCAGCAAACGGTGGGTGGCGAAATACCCCAGCAACTGCCGGGTTAGACTGTGCGGGACAAATTTGACAGTATTTCTCGCTAGTTCGATCTACATATACCACTGGGTAGAGTATAGCCGGCATGCGAGGTAGCTAGACGCTAGGCGCTCGGGGCGGCAGTCACGCCGCCGCGCTGGGGAGACTGGGGAACTGAGGGAGCTAGGCGCTAGGCGCTAGGCTAGGCGCTATAGGCCAGGGTGACAGCTGGGGAGAATGGGGAGCTGAGGGAGCTAGACACTGGGCGGGTCGGCAGCCACGCCCGTGCACTGGGGAGCTGAGGGAGCTAGACGCTGGGCGGGGTGGTGGCCACACCACTGGGAGGAGCTGAGGGAGCTAGACGCTGGGTGGGTCGGCAGCCAGGCCACTGCACTGTGGAGCTGAGGGAGCTAGACGCTCGGTGGGATGACGGTAACTCCATTGGGAGGAGTGTTGCAGGAGCTAGACGCTGGGCGGGGTGACGGCCACGCCGCTGGGAGGAGCGGTGAGGGACTCGCACACCATGTGTGTCAGTGTGGTGCTACTGTAGCTCGACCGCTGCAGCTCCCCGGTCCCGCGGCTGGCGGGCAGCAGGAGACGCGAGCCGCTGCCCCCCGTGATGTAGCCAGTGATGTCGAACGGCAGGTCCGTGCCATCCGGGTTTCTCGGTT